AGCTGATGGATTTTGGCATTGAAGTTAGTTGCATCCCTATCTTTTGTGATAACACTAGTGCTATTAGTATGACTAAGAACCCAGTTCATCATAAGAGGACTAAGCACATAGATGTTAGACATCACTTCTTAAGGGACAACTATGAGAAAGGATTGATTACTATAGAATTATATGCTACAGATAAACAAATTGCAGACATATTTACTAAAGCACTGAGTAGAGAAAGCTTTGAAAGGAACAAGTTAGAATTATGGATGATTAAGATCACCTAATGGGACCAGCTCAAAATGCACAATGAACAAAAATTTTTTAAAAAAAAATCTTTTTTGTCTAGGAAATCTGGAACTTGTGTAAATATCTAGATTAATTTTTACTCAGTTTCATACTGTAAATAGTATACTCCTGTGACATGTGTTGATATGACTCACTGATCTCTAACAAAATTTTCTCTATTTTGGTAAATTGAGGCATGATCAAGAGGATTCTAAATAAAAAACCTGGTTCATCAGTATTGGTTCATTTGAATAACGAGGTATGTTTTCTATACTCTACACAATTAGAAATATAAATATTTAAATCATGAGCAGAGTCCTACCTATGTTCAAAAAACATCAGAGAATCCTATCCTTTTATTTTTTAACCAGTTCCGTCTCTACTAGAATTCTCACCACATAAAATGCCTAAAATATAGGGAAGCTTAACCGTTCATTCAACCTGAAATTTCAGGTTGATTAGACCTCTAATTGATTGCAAAAAGCTACCGTTAGTCATTAAATAAGTTTCTCTCTTTAAATAGCCATCATCACCCTCATTATTCCAAACCGTCAAAAATTTTTCACTCTCAATTGTTCTCTCTTCCAAAAGCCTAACTCACAAACTCTCTCACGAAATCAGTTACAGTGTCCAACCCTCAAGACAATCCAGGCACTCCTCCACCACCCTCCCCTTCTGGTTCCTCCACACCTCCTCCACCTAGTACAAACCCCCAGCCTAAGAAAAGACGTGTTAAAATGCTCGCTCAAAAAACTGTAGCCACAGGTGCACTGTCGAAGAGATTGAACACACAATTGAAGGCTACCTAAGCCCAAGAATCTGAACACTCGGACGATTCCTTCAAGTCTGCAATTGAGGGGGAAGGACCTGCGTCTTTTGACTTTGAGAGGATTCCGAGTTCCCCTTCTGAGGTACGTTCTGTATTGCTGAAAGTGTAGAAAATAGGTTTGTTCTTGTTGGGTCTGTTAGAGATGTGAAAATGCCTAAATTGAGAAGGAGAGGAGGTAAAAATAAAAGTGAAAAAGAAAAAGAGAAAGAAGGTGCAAGCTGTGATGTGAGGGGAACATGGGTAGAAGTGGTTGCTTCGTCACCCACCTCTGAGACGATTAGACCAGCAATTTGTGGGGCTGAAGATGAAATTGTAGGAAAAAGTGGCAAGAAAACAGGGGGAAGTGGATTAGGAGAGGCTGCTGAGGATTTGGTAAATTTAAGTTCTCATGTGGATGAACCTGGTTCATCTGTTGAAGAAACCCTACCAGATCTTCTGAAGAAAGTAGGTGCTAGTTATAATCCCAAGAAAAGGAGAACTCCAACGCCTAAGATTTCAAGCACTACAAAGAACACCAAGAAAAGAAAGGCCAATTCCCCAACAACTGCTGAAATTCCCTTGCCAAAGGGGAGAGCCACAAGAAGTATGGTGAAACAGAGTGAGAGTGAATTACAAAAGGCTTTGGCTGAAAGCAAGAAGAAGATGATAGATAAAGGAAAAGCCAAGGTTGTAGAGCCTTCTGAGGGTGTTGATGTTGAGAAGATGGAACAGGTCCATCAGGAGGAACTTACAACTGTGGAGGTTCAGACCCCCAAGCCTAAAAAGACCAAGACCTCTTCAAAGAAGTCTCCATCAGAGTCTAAGGCTGCTGAATCTTCATTGGCCAAAAGGACAAGGTCTGCAGTGAAAAACAAACCAGTTAAAATTGCTGAGGATGAAGAATGAAGTGGTGAAGAAGAGAGAGAGTTTGATGGTGAACAGGACAAGCTTGCCAAGTTTGGCAAGAGAAAAATTCTGAAGGGTAGATTGCTGAAAGATTGGTGGAACTAGGAATGGTTCGATTGATTGATGCACTAGCTGCTCAGGGCTGGAAGGACATGGTCCTTCAGATGGATGGAAGGCTAGCTAGAAATGAAATCACTGAATTCATGGCCAATGTAGAGGTCAAGGATGGCAGAGTTACCAGCCAAGTGAAAGGAGTTCTGGTGACCTTCGATGCAGAGAAGCTGGGTGAGATTCTTGACATCCCTGCTGAGGGATATGATGACTACACTAGGCAAAGATGGCCCAGTATGGATTCCCTTACTTCTGCCCTTGAAATCACTAGAAGATTCTGTGATGTTGAAGAAGTGAATGAGGCCAAGTTTGTGCACAAGAGTGAAATGAAGCCACAACATAAAGTCCTCTTTGAATTTGTCAACAAGTTCCTACTACCCAGACAGAAAAGAAGGCACATTGCCAACTATATGGACTTAGTTCTGATGGAGTGTCTTGAAAGTGGAAGACAAATCAACTGGTTTGCATTCATCATCAAGCTACTGGACAGGGTTATCAATGGCTCCAAGGCCCATGTCACCCCTTATGGATTTATTCTGACTACTGTTCTGGATCGGTGCAAGGTGCCTCTGAAGAAGTGGGAAATGGCCACAAGCAAGGACCATTTTGGCATAAATACTTTGATTGCTTGTGACTATCTAGTCACTGCCATTCCCAATGAACCTGGTTCATCCAAGAAGACACCTATCAATAGTAAAATCAGGGCTCTGGTTCAGGAAAGTGGGGCCAAGGATGCTAAGATAGCTAGGCTAAAGGCTCGCTTAGCAGAGGTTGAATCTGAGAGGGATGCTCTCAGAACTGAGCTCACCAAGGAAAATGAGAAGAATGGTGGCATTCTTCAAAATATGTTGAACCTTCTCCAAGCCCAAAACCAACCCTCTAGCTCCCCCAAGCCTTAGGACTTCTAGCCTTCATCTCCTGAACCTGTCTAGTACCACCAGTGACCCAGATTAAGGATTTCTCTTTCTTTTGCTCATGTTTTGAATATTTTTGGTTTCTTTTTGTGGATTGTGGTAGCAACATATCTTCTACCAATGATATCTACTGTTTTTGCTCTTGTTGATTGTTAATATTTCCTTGATAGTTTGAAATGTTTGCTTGATTACTGATGATTAATCCATGATTGCACTTGCAGTTGCCCCAGTGGCCATGAGTAATTGTTAAAATTCTGGGACTCACACTTTGTTTATGCAACTTTTCGATGATGCCAAAAGGGGGAAGAGATATTGTGCTTTGTATATTTTGAATAAGTGATGTTTATAACCTAATGAACCCGGTCCTTGATGATAAGTAAATTTTTCTAACTTTGTATTGATGAATCAGCTGAGTTATGACAGGGCCTAAGTGAGTGAGAAGCACAGAGTTTTTAATCATCAAAAAGGGGGAATTTGTTGGCCCAAGTAAAGGTGAAGTTTTGAAGACTGACAAAGAAACTCAAACATGGACCAGGTCCATCTTGTGAAGCACAGTTATGATCAACTCAAACATGTGAGATGCACGTGAAGGAGATAAACCTAACATATCAGAAGTGTTATCTCCTAATCATGATCGAAAAGGTTGCATATTGGATAAGGAGATAGACACCTTACACAAAGAGAACACGGTTTAGGAAAATGATAGAGTTAGAGTATGAGATCAACTAGAACTCTTCCACCATGGAAGAGTAGCGTCTGTATCCTAGTCAATCTCTAATTGCTAACTCCTTAAATATTAGTNGTCAAATTTCTCAGACAAAATCACGATTATCGTCAAATATGTTGCGGCTAGAACTGAACCCGCCAAGATGATCCTGTCTTGAACCTCGCTCTGATACCATTTGTAGGACCGAAAAAATCAGGTGTCATGCGGAAGATAGCAAAGCAAACCTTGAACGACGATAAGTCCAACAACAAAGAGAAATCTACCAAAAGAGACACAAATATTTAACGTGGTTTGGTCAATTGACCTACGTCCACGGCGGAGATGAGCAATCCATTATAATAAAAGAGAGTACAAATATCGAGAGAACAACCTCACGAAGAGGCAAACACAAGTGACACACTAACTCTTGTTCCGTAAAGTTCCCCCCTAAACAAGTCTCTCAAGCCCCCATATGGCTACATTGTGGATGATACTGAATGAGAAGGACGGATCTTCAATTTATAGAACTCCAAACCTTTTCCTACTAGAAAAGGGACTAGCCAAATATGGAAGAATTATATTTTCCCTCTAGGAAAAGAAAAACCCAATTATGGTAAATATGTTGTCCTTTCCTTCATGAGATAGGAAAACCAATTATGGTAAGAAAATCTGGACAAACACTTAACATCAACATGGGCGGAGGGAAGGGGGTTCGAAAATTCGAACACTCTTCGTCGAAAATTATATTATTTTTATAAGGTTAAATTCTGTACATATATTTATATATTAGATGACAAATTTTTATTGGCTTCTCTATATGTTTATTTTATTTTTTATTCTCTTTGGTAGAAATTCTGCCTACTCCACTGATACTGCCACTCAAGCCCTACTGCCTTCGATAATATGATGGATGGACGAAAAAACTTCGTCGAACAATAGTTTTAAAATTTGTATAACGTTTTTGTAATGTAAAATGGACTTTACGTGATTGTCTATAAAAAGAGTTCTAACACATTCAAAATTTATTTTGGGCATTTGGCCATTCAACAACATCACCACCCTTATAATTTAATCCTACCATGTAATCGATTCGTCTATTGAAAAAGATTATAAGAAAAGGTAGGCCAGAGCATGAAGCGTCTGGTGACACCCCAAGGAGATGTACTATAGGCAGACACAGGTATTTTCATAACTCGATCTCGTGAACTATTAGTTACACGGAGATAATTTTTCCGTTGCTACAAGTCTCATTCATTTTAAAGATTATACACACAAAAAAAAAAAGGGACAAAGATTATACGTCAATATAAGACAAGAAACGACTAGTTAAGTGACCACTGTTGCAGCAGTCCGACTCGCACTTGAAGCTGTAAATTTACACTCTCAGCTTCTATATTTTATTTCTTCAAGTATCTTATTACAACTATATACATATAAGAAATGACGACCCAACTACATATCTGATACACCTCTGGTTATGTAGTTGCTGCCATTAGCCGCATTCTCCACAGACTTCACAACAAAAACTAATACACTCAAAACAAGCAAGTGCTGTACAAAGCTGTGCTAAAGTAACAGCACATCGATCATTTACCCGAGAACAGAACTGTATGAAACACATGCAACAGCAACAGTCACATAGTTTGCCGCATAAGCTTGAAGCAGCTGCAAATACCATTTCTGAAGTTTCATGCAATTTGGGTTCTGCTGCTTCCACAGGAAGATTGTCTACTGTGGCCTTCAAGTTGCCGAAACCCAAACCTAGCGCTCGAAGGTATATGACTTTCTTGACATTCAAGTCCGAGGTCTTCTGCATATCCATTCCATCACCATAGTTTCATGAAAAGTGCAGGAACAAATCAGCATTTGAAGGCTAAAGAATTGGTGGAAGACGGGTCGGATGTGTGTTTTGCACTTATCACTATATCTCCTCGAGCAAACTAGGAGTATTATATTATAGATGTTTGCTTAAATCTAATCCTGGCCTTCCAGGGTAGGGGTAAGGCTGCGTACATCCTACCCTCCCCATGCCCCACTTGTGGGATTATACTGAGTGATTGTTGTTGTTGTTTACTTAAATCTAATCACTACCACAAAATTCTGGTCTCGTCAATTAAAGCGAGAGGCTTAATTTTCATTAACAGATTCCTTATGTAAGCTTAATGCATTATTGCAGTTTAGAAGATTATGATAATCATGGACATACAGAAAACACAAGAAAGCTAATTTACATGTACAGAAGTATATGTCCAGTTATAATTACCTCATACTGGTCAAAATGATATACGAATCAGATCATTTTTAAATGATAAAGGGCTTTAAATCAAGCAAAAGTCAAACTAGATATTGACAAACCAATCAAACCAAAGCATACCTCATCCGTTACCTCTAATTTAGAGGTCTGCCTCTCCTTTTTATTTTCTACCAAAATCAAGTTGGTATACTCCGAAGGTACTCCTGTTTGCAAGCTCAATTTCACAACCTAGAAGCAGAAATATAGTTTAAGTGAGCATAATACCATAAAGAAAAAGTAATATTAGTGATTTTCACACAAAGATTGTTGGCCCAAGTAAATATGAAGTTTTGAAGACTGACAAAAGAACTCAGACATGGACCAAGTCCATCTTGTGCAGCACAGTTGTGATCAACCCAAACATGTGAGATGCACGTGAAGGAGATACACCTAACTTGTCAGAAGTAATATCTCTTGACCATGATCGAAAAGGTTGCATATTGGATAAGGAGAAAGACTCCTTACACAAAAAGAACACGGTTTAGGAAAATGATAGAGTTAGAGTATGAGATCAACTAGAACTCTTCCACCATGGAAGAGTAGCGTCTGTATCCTAGTCAATCTCTAATTCCTAACTCCTTAAATATTAGTGTTGTTCTCTTTTACAGGCAATGCACATAAGTAGAAGTTAAACGTGAATTGAGAGCAAAATAGCAAGGCAATTTCGCAAGCAATTTATGTGTGATTCAAGCGTGCAATCGTGAAGCTACTTGAACCAGATAGAAGAACCAGTTCCAAGTGTCTATCTTTTATTCTAGTTCAATTGTAGTAGCTGATTTTACATTGTACCTTTCAGCTTATTTAGAAGCAATTGTATTAGGTACTTAGAGTTTTCAAGTTAGAGTTAACTTGAAGTTGTCACAACAGTTGAGGCTGTGTGCCGCAACGGGATTAGAGTTAATCCTAGGTTTACAAAAGAGTTTTTGTAAATGCAGTTTTTGGCTCAGTGATTTTAGTGGAGAGTTTGGGAAAATCCTACTGGAAGGTAGGTTGTGCTTTTTTCACCTTTTGAGCCAGGTGTTTTCCACGTAAAATCTTTGTGTTCTTTATTTTCTGTAGTTATTATTCGCGACAGTAGTACTTGGAACACATAGAAGAACGAGGTCCTTCTATAATCAAGTTAAGTGAAAATTGGGTACCACACAAATCACCCTCCCCCCCCCCCCCTCTTGTGTGGTATTGACGTATAAAACATCAGAAATGGCACGTGGGACTCGTACACTCTTGGTCTAACGGGAGGTGGAGCATGCTCCCTAGTCAAATCAGGTTCGACATTCTCTTCCTCCTTACCATCACCCTCGTCAGGGAAGGGTGTGTTATCTCCAGACTCATCGGCATTGTTGTCATATCACTATTCTCTTCCTGACTCTGTGCATCTGCCAGATCCCAAGTAAATACGTCGTCTTCGGGCAATTGAGTAAGGACAGGACCATCAAGTTGCTCGTTTTCACTACACAACCAATGAAATAATGAGTTACTGAAATTGGTCCAAACAATACATATAACTTTATATATTCACTTACAAATTATAATATGTTGATATCACATGATGCACATTATCTTGTTGATGCTGACTCCCGGTTGGACCACTATGATCCAACACATCAAAACTAGGCATATTCCAACTGGTCGTTGGTTCATAACTTGTAAAATTCATATCTGGTCGGTACCCCCTGTGGAATATATGAGTGTTAATACAAATACAATACATAAAAATATACATCGTAACACAAAGGAAATTGAAATTTACCACTCAGCTTGTGGATTATGTATACTAGGGGAGAAATTATTTCCTCGCTCCTCATTCGCCCATGGAGATAAGTTTAGATCCAGCAAAACACTTTCAGCCGGAACCTATTCGGCTAAAACTGCTCCAATATAACCACCCGATTATTGAGGGATTTCCCTACTTTGCGCAACCTCATTATTGCGAATGTATTCAGCCTTGACGTACATTTCCAATAGTTTTATCACAATAAATTCCCGTATTCATCTGGAGTCCTAAAAAATCTCTCAGAGTTTCATCGACTTCGATGTTAAACTCAGCATAACAATCAACCCCTTGCGGAGTCACAGAATACGGATATCTTCCGGTTATTTTAAGATTCACCGAACGTTTGCTCACACTCATTTTTTTACATAATAATAATACCAATATATCGTACTCCATTGTAAGTGACAACTTAACATGAGATCGTGGAGATAAACTATAGTTTACTGAGTTATTCGCCACCACAGCCTCACCCCCACCCCTCAATATAATGAAACCCTAATTCTTCGCTCTTCAGACATTATTACAAAATGCAAAACAACTTAACAAAGAAAAGTTTCACAAGACTTAGAATATTTCTGAATGGATTTTTACAAAATCCTTAACGTCCTTAAATAAGGGAAAACCCAGTCCGGGGGTTCAATTATTTGAGGTATCGCGTTTTAGCTTAAGACGCTATACCCAGTTGAATTGTTGTTATTTCAGTTAAGCCTAGACGAATTATTTGTGGGCCCACATAATATATATAGCGTCTTAGTGAAAAATGACATATATATAGCGTCTTTTTAAAAGACGCTATACTTAACTGGCCAAACGGCCGTTAAGGTATAGCGTCTTTTAAAAAGACGCCATATATATTTTGGTCACTATATTTTTTTTTCCACATATTTTTGTTCTTTGAGTCCAAAAGAACTGTGATGACCCAAAAGGTCATCACTTGTTTTAGAAACAAATTCAGTATTCCGAGGCCTAAAAACCTCCTTTTTACCTCACCTCGATTTGCGTGCGTGGTCCGTACCTATATCCGGAAAGTCTTCCATGTGAAAATATGAGAAATAGAGATTTCTAGATTTAACATTTGATTATGGTTGACTTTAGTCAATATTATGAGCAAACGGACCCGGATCCGTGTTCCGATGATCCCGAGAGGTCCGTAGAAAAATATGGGACTTGGGCGTATGCCCGGAATCGAATTCCGAGGTCCCTAGCCCGAGAAATGAATTTTTAAAGAAAATTGTTTTCTGGAAAAATATATGAGTTTTTGGAAATGAAATGTGTTTGAAATTTGATGGTATCGGGCCTGTATTTTGGTTCCGGAGCCTGGTACAGGTCTTATATGTAGTTTAAGTTGAGTCTGTGAAATTTGGTAAGAAACCGACTTGAAATGACGTGAATCGGACCTTATTTTAGAAAATTGGAAAAAATTTGATGTTCTTAAGTGATTTCATGATTTTAATGCTAAATTCATAGTTGTTGATGTTATTTTAGTGATTTGAATGCACGAACAAGTCTGTATGATGTTTTTAGGTTGGTGTGCATGTTTGGTTTGGAGCCCCGAGGGCTCGGGTGAGTTTTGGATAGGCCATGGGGTGGAATTTTAACTTAGGAAATTTTAGGTTTTTCAGCTGGTATGATCAAGTCTGCAGGCTTTGCAAATGCGAAGCCTCACTCGCAATTGCGAGCTCGCAAATGCGACAAAGCCTCGCAAATGCAAAATTGGACTTGGGCAGCCTTAGTCGCAAATGCGACTCTTCAATCGCAAATGCGATTTCGCATTTGCTAACGGTCTATCGCAAATGCGAAGATGACCGGAAATTTGACTTGGTCGCAAATGCGACATTATCTTTGCAAATGCGAAACTGCCAGTTTTCTGAAGGGTTCGCAATTACAAACCCTGGTCGCAATTGCGACATCAGAGACCTGTAAATTCATGAGTTAGACGCATTTGAACCATTTTTCACACTCTTTCAAAAGCAAAACACTCTTGGGCGATTTTTCAAAGACAACTTCTCTTCCAAATCAATTGTAAGTCATTTCTAACTCGTTTTCTTCAATCTTTAACATCTTTTCACATGATTTCAACTCAAAATCAAAGGTTTTCATGGGGGAAAATGGGTGTTTTGGTAGAACCTAGGTTTTTCAAATTTTGGGGATTTGAACCTCGATTTGAGGTTCGATTTCAAAACAAATTGTATATTTGAGTTCGTGGGTGAATGGGTAATCGGGTTTTGGTTCGAACCTCGGGTTTTGACCATGTGGGCCCGGGGTTGATTTTTGACTTTTTGGGAAAAACTTTAGAAAACTTATTTTCATGCATTAGAATTGATTCATTTAGCATTTATTGATATAATTAAGTAACTTGTGGCTAGATACGAGCGAATTGGTGGTGGATCAAGAGGTAAAGCGATAGTTGAGGCTTGAATTGTGTTCGAGGCATCGAGGTAAGTGTTTGGTCTAACCTTAGCTTGAGGGATTAGGAGTTGTGTCCTATTTGCTATGCATTATTTGTTGAGTACAACGTATAGGCATGGTGACGAGTATCTATACGTTGGTGTCAAGCATGCCCTTGAGTCTTATGTTATGATTAATGTGACTCCATTTGTATTGTTCACGTGTAATGTGATAATTGCTATTGTTGAGCAAGGTTTGTGGAAAGAATATTGGTATTCGAACAGTGAAGAGCGTTGGATCAAGTTGTGAAGCGAATTATGAAAGAATAATTGGCAACTGAACCTTATGGAGAATTGGCTCAAATTGTGAATCGAGTTGTGAAGTAAATGTGAAAAAGAGAAAAGGATTATGGTATTGTTCCCTTGCCAGGACGTTGTTGCTTTTAATATTGTTCCCTTGCCGGGATGTTGTTATTTTTTTTGGTATTGTTCCCTTGCCGGGATTTTATTATGATATTATTGTGATTTCATTTATTTCCTTGCCCTTATTGTTTGTGATTGTTGTTTGGGTGAGGAAGAGTGTTAAAGCACGAAGGGTGATGCCGTGCATTGTTTTTGTGAGGAAGAGTGTAAAGCACGAAGGGTGATGCCGTGCCGCACGATGTACAATTTCGTGCCTTTATATGAGTGATTATATGAGGTAAAAGCACGAAGGGTGATGCCGTGCCAATTATATTGATTTTCATGGTGAGGATGAGAGTAAAAGCACGAAAGGTGATGCCGTGTACTTGTCCTTGATTTTCCTGATTATACTGATAATTGAGTTATGGTGTTCTTCACGTTTACTTACTTATTTCCTGTTGTTACTTGATTTTATTGTGATGTTATTGATTCCCTTGCCCAAATTGCTCTGTGATTGTTGCTTGGGTGAGGAAGAGTGTAAAGCACGAAGGGTGATCCCGTGTATGATATTTGTGAGAGAGTGTTAAAGCACGAAGGGTGATGCCGTGCATTGTTTTTGTGAGAGAGTGTTAAAGCACGAAGGGTGATGCCGTG